TCGAGCGTTTATTTTGTTTATTCTATAAAAGATAGATAAAAATATTTTGGAAAAGTTCTTATTTCTTGCTGATAGAAAAAACATATTTATTAATTTACTTTTGATCCTGGTGTGAAATGTTTAGGCGCTGTTATGCCTACGATCGTTACCTCTGACTTCTTTGGCAGCGTGTTTAACTAATTGGACACTGTTCCTCTTAACCAACTCGGCCATAACTAATTTACACGTTACGAGCTCTTGAAAACAAAAGTGAAATCGTAGGAACGGACGGCCCGTTATCATGTTTGATTTCAGATCTATTATCTCTATCTTACGTTTTATGTACATATTATGTATTAACGTACGAGCAAACGTTTGATGACTTTGACTTGATATTTGTGATCGAGGAACGCAGCTATACCGATATAACGCGAACGATAAGAGGAGAGCGTAGATGGAAATCTGCTTTCATTCTTATTAGTGCAACTGCGCTACGTAGAAAAATACAATCAGTAGGACAACTGTTCTTTTACCTTTCATCTCGAGTGCCGCGTGCCTCAATTGTACGCTTCCGCGTTTCAAACGAACCAGTGCCGCCATTATTTTGTTTCAAATCACATTGTTCTAACAATTATTGTTCACGTACGTCGAGTCCTTTTATTTAAATACAGTTTATACAAAACTACGATATTGTTCAATCGATACATTTTGCATAGAATTTTAACAACTGGTGTAGTTCACTTGTTAGGAATCGCGCACAGGATTTTTTCAATGGAATTTCAGTGCCACGGTACGATTTTTCAAAGCTCTCTTTCTGGAAGTCATACTGTCAATCTGTCAGTCACGGTGGTACGATATCTGTGAAGCGAATGAAACCCGGTTTGCTAACAAGCCTTGATACAATAAGTACCCGTACTCATGCTCATTGCCAGCCTTGAACCATCGTTTCAGATATGTCTAAAACGAGCTACATAATGCACCTGAACAAATGGGACGAAGGGTACAAGTATTTAGTAAAATAATCGTCCACCTAGTGAAACAATTTTAATAGAATTCTTATAGATAATAATCTTTGCAAGGACGTCGGTAGCAATTAGAACGGGAAGGCATCGTAAAAATTCAGTGGATCCTTTGAGTGTCCTAAGAGCCTCGAGACTCTTAAGGATTCCCTGGGATCTATTCAAAGTTTAGAGTAGGGCGGTCTCCTCATTTTTTTCTTTCTTCGTTCATATTTCGTCCTAAAAGAATTCGTAAAATTAAAATTCCTCGTATCGTTCATGTTATATACAATATGTATATGTATGTAAAAAATATGCGCATCGTGCAAATAACGTGTGAGCATGTATAGTAAGTTTATCTCTCACTCTCGTATTTTTCTTATATTCTTCCAGCTTCTCTTGTAGTACCTGTAGTGTGGCTGTAGCTCGGATTTGTGCGTCTCTCTTTTTCCCCTCTTATTTCCTCTCTGCCTCTCCCTCTCGCTCCGACTCTGTTGAATGTCATAGAAGAAAGAGAGAAGAGCAAAAAGAGATGAGAGACTCTTCTCTCTCTCTCCTACTCCTTTCTCCGCTCCCTCTCGCTCTAGCCGACGTCTCTACTACGATTGGAGGATTCTGGGACTGACTGGGACTCAGGTAAAACGGCTACGGCATACCATAGCATCGGTTATCGCTGTAGTATAGTACAGTAGAGTCAAAGTTGGCGTTTCTCTGACACATTTGTTTCTAAACCAGAAGCCTCGGTCATCTTATAAGTGGATCGCGCACTGCATTTTACGATACGTACTCGGATTCCGATGAAACTAGTGACAATTTACGCGTTTGCTCTAATTTCCGGCACTTGTAATATATTTACACGTTCTCCGAGCATTTCAAATTCTGTGAACTGTGATTCTGTGATGATACTTCGCGTTTCAAAACGAGTGCTACGGTACAGTTGCCATATATGTGAGGAAAATCAATAAGGAATAATTAACGTGGATAAATAATTATTTAGGTGAGTCGGTACTTTTTTATTATACAAGTTCAGTGGCCTTTCGTCGAACAAGTCAGTCGGGAGGTTTGAGGTTAATTTTGGGCCCTAAGTCAGGCCCTAACATTCTATGAATGCAAAATTTATAATAATTGTATCTTTTTTTCGGATACATTTAATTTAAAATTGATTAGAGGATCGATTTAATTTTTATGTATTCGATAAAAATAATTTGGGCCTTTTTGGGGCCTTATACAGTACAATATAGTCTATGATACGATACATAGTTGTTTCGTCTTGTATGACATAATAAGAATAATTGAATTTTTTCCAATACATGCGCTACATATTATATAATATCGTAATGTGTCATTTGTTATTTAATTAGGGCCATTTATATAGTTTCTCGCAGGGTTCTTCGTCTTCCAAGCTCAATGGGCAATATTCATCTTTGTTGACCCTTTCCAAGTCTCCTAAATCCAATTTTGGTTTGAAAGGCAGTTCGGAAATTAAAATTCCTTCCCTAGATTCCTTCTTCTCATCCGCGTCTTCTTCAAATTCCCAAAAATCATCGTAATCGTTCGAAACATGACTCTTCTCGTTCAATCTGACGGTCTCCTTTTTTTTTGACACTCGATTTTTATTGAAAATCTCTTTGGAATCTTTGTTAACTTTGTTATTCCTGAATTTCATTCTATTCGATTTTAAGGAGTCTAATTCTTCGGTTTTTAGAGGAATATCATTCGATTTATCATCGATTGCTTTAACATAATTATCAGTAGCCTCTCGATTTTCATCTTCCTTTCCATTAGTTTTCAATTCTGATTCACTCGCAGTGTCCAGGAATTTTTTATCACTCTCCGAAGGTTCCTTTAATATCTCATCCCCTTTACTACTTTCGCTAATCTTATTTCCCACGTCAGTTTCATTCATTTCATTAGTTATCGTGGAACTGTTGCTTAAATTAAGCGAATCGCGAGGAGATTCAACGATTATCGATGCACTGTTCTTTTTATTATCCTCGACCCGAACGTCCGATTTCATTTTCGGATTCTTTTTATACTCCTCCTCCAAGTAACTTTTAAATTGATCTCTGAAATAGCCATCGATCATTTTCCAAATAGTAGTACTGTACCAATAGAGGATACTACAAATGAAAATACCACGTATGATGATTCCCAGCATAATCGCTCAATTAACCATCGATCTTTAATCTCTAGTAATTTATCTCTCGATTATTAACACAATAACGATTTTAATTCGACGTTAATTGGGTGCGATTTAATTAATTCCCATTGTAGTATTCCTTCATGAACGTAATTGCTTCTTGGATTTTCGGCACTCCCATAGTCACGAATATTAATATAGAATTGGCGATGACGAACAGTCTCATCATTTCCAAACCGTCGCTAGATCTCAGCCAGTCACCGAATCCCTGATTCTCAACGTCGTCGTTTAAAATTACACTGTCATTATCATTCTTCTCGTTCTTATTGCTATTCTTATTATTATCATTCATCTGATTCTTGTCATTCTTTTTACTCTTCGATTCGTTTTGCTTATTCTTTCCGCTTTTACCCTCGTGATTACTACGCTTCTTCATAATTATTACACCTGACGACGATCGTACTTGCAATCACACGCTCTCATCTAGAAATGCAATTTACTTTGTGACTTTCTTTCGATTCTGTAAATTATTCATTCGGCTCACCTCGATGATGTATCGATACTTCAAGACCGAATCACCAGACACAATAATTTTAATAAATCACGATTGAAATTAATGATTTTTCGAAAGTTTCCTCAGAGTTTTTTCCACAATTTTTCACGATTTATTTTAATACTTTCCTCTTTCTTGCAAGAACGACTCTTATTGATTTTTGTACACTGCTTTCCCTTTAGTTCCTTCGAACCTTTTCAATTTCATACCACAAAGAACCATTGTTACCCACTGTTATGTTAGAATTATTCTCTATCACTAACTAAAGTATACTTCGTACCGGAGTGGAACTCCGATACGGCTTCTTCGGTTAATCTCATTACACGAACACCGTCTATATAGACCGCCTTTATTCAATCATATGCTTTTCAAAATATAACAAATAGTAACATATACAATATACAAAAACATCACCGCTTACAAAATATAGTTAATAAAAAGTGAAACGTTTTTTTAAAATAATTCTTGCGAAATTAATTGCCGGTTCTTCCGTCGTGGGCAGCAACGATCAGATTCAATGTGGCCAACGAATTCGGTAATACTCTCAAGCTTATGCTGGTCCTGCTCGATCCCAACACGTTCGAATTTCCACAAACGACTGCATGGCTCCCTTGAACGTTCCTCGCGCTTAAGTAATGAATAGCTCCTATGGAAAAACAACGTACAGTGACTCAATCAATAAAACGAGTTGTGAAAGTGCAAATGAAAATTACCGCTCGTTACAGAAACGTCCAACGTGGTGGCTTGAACAACGTTCGAGGGATTATTGAATTCAATTACTCTTCTGAATACCGTCTCGTCGGCGTATCTCTGTCCGAAAACTAAATCTCCGATAAAACCAGGCCCACGTTCCTCTGGGCTGTTAGCCAACTGTCGAAAAATAACTCTCAGCCGTGCAAATTAAAAAGGAAATAAGCGTCACTTACCAGTTTGGTTTTCGGTAAAGCGTCGTTATTATTCAACTGCAGTTGTACATTTTTATCTCGGGACACGTCGATGCCATAAGCCTGTACCAATATTTGGCAGGCAATGAAAACTACGATTAGTCTCTGGAACATCGTCGTTGATTTTAATCCCCGATGGATTTTGTAGCTTTTCACCGTGTCCAAATTTAACTGGAGACTGCGAGTTATAAGTTACCGGAGGTCTCTTTTATAGACGGAAAGTGAGTCCATGAAAACAAGGTATACGTGAGTTATCTGAAAAGTGATTTCACCATCCGGCATTATCATAAATTCTCTCCGCGGAATACAAATCGAGCCAAACGCCGAATACAATGGCATTGTAATGGAGCATCGTTATTCCTATCACGAAGAAAGTGAACGCACTGAATTCTTTCTATCATTTTTAATCCATAAATAGATATTAAAAGAAAGAAAAACAACAGATTTCTAATATCCGATGCTGTTCTTATTCACCTGGGACCGTGGATTCTCTCGCTATATCCATCCGCGTATACGTCCGCCGCTACTAACTTTCCTAGTTAGTGGAACTGACAACTAACTAGGCCGACTACTTACTTACTTTACTGTACTATAAGTATTTAACCCAGAAAGGCTACACGGTATATACCTATAGTAGGAGGTATATAGACAATATTCGAAATCTCTTCTTCTTTACCAGTAGTTTCACAGTTTCGTGACGAACTTCTTAACAAAGCCGATCCACGCCATTTCTCATATTAGCTATACCATAATCTACAACAGTTGGCCGTTTCTTCGCCCATTATCAAGTCGCCTGGCACCCAAATTTGGCACCAAACTTGCCCATTATCCTCCACTAATTAATTTGCATATATTACATTATAAATTCTTCTGTTTTAAATTAAAATCGATCATTTTGTTATATACATATATTTGTTTACAATTAAAATTGATCATTCATTGATTCCATGTACAGATCCTACTTTGGCACTAAACTTGGCCATTGTTCTCCACTAAATAATTTATCACATAATATTAAATATATTTTTCTTTTAAATTAAAATCGATCATTTTATTATATACATTTTTTTTTTAAATTAAAGTCGATCTTTCATTAATTCAATGTACAGATCCTTTTAATTAGAGCACCCTTTTACGACTGCTAATTGGGAACTTTTTAAGTACGTTAGCCTACGGCCTATGAGTTTAATTCTCTTTAATCCTGGCTAGATCTCCTCTCTAAATATATATATATATAGTTCAATAAATCCCGGTAAAGGTTGGATTATAGATCGATAGCTGGCTATTATTCTTTCAGGTCAATTCCTGTGCGCGGGCGTGTGCTCACTTTTGCTAAAAGGTACCTGCCAAGGGATGTTTAACTCTTTCGCTAATGTTGAAAGAAAGAAACGCTGAGGGGTAGGATCTTTTAATGGGTTACGGTGGGTTAGGGGCAGAGATAGGGGCGCAACAGTTGCGTGGATGGATACGCGTTTAACGACCAAACAGAATTTCAAGCGAGAGAGAGAAGAGCGGCGGAATTACCTCGGACGGCGAAAAGGGATGAATGATGGCGAACCGGGGGTGCGTGGAGGAGGGGTGGCGTGTAGTTGAAAAAAACAACCTGCATGCGTGTTATGAGAACCAAACAGAGAGCAAAATACGGGCGGGGGGGAGAGTGGAGCGAAGGTGCTGGCCGCCGGTGGAAGGGGGTGGTAGAGGGGTTAAACAGAGATTAAACGCGAGGGTGGATGACGGTGAAAGAGAGAAGCGCATGGAGGAGAGAATTCGCGGAAGGGGGTATAAAGAGTGTGGAGGGGATGAAACGTGGAAGGTGGGTGAAAGTGTGGGTGGGTCGGAGTGGAAGGGAAGGTGTGGGTGGTTGGATACCGATAACCTAACCGTTGACGTACCTCTACCTTCGGTTTAGTTCAGTATTCCTCTAGAATTCTAAGAGTGAACAGCTCCCTAACCGTTAATACGATAAAGCCCCGTAGTTGCCTTTCGTTGCTTTTTTCCGGTCCGAGGGAAATTTCTAAGGAAATTTAATATTCCGCGGCTCCGCGCTTAGTTTCTCGGCGATGAACGTTGCATTCTAAACGATGTGCTTCGATTATTGCCAGCGGCTGTACGTGTGCACGTTTGCTCTGTTTGTGGTGAAACATTCAACAGACTCGTAAACCTGAATTCCTGAATATCCGATTAAAAGCGTCAGCAAATTATTATCGTTTATTCAAATAATATAACGATACAATTGGTCGCGGAAAATTTACATGAATTATAAATGTGATACAGTGTCTTCTTCTTAAAATAATAAATATACAGAAACGTATATATATTATTATTAATAATATACAAAATTAAAAGTACGTAAATTAACAGCGTACGAAAAAATAATCGTGACGCTTTAATAATAATATATGATATTATTTATCGAGAATTAAAATACGACGTTGTTTGAAAGTAGCGATTTGAAATCCTCATTTCTTATCTTTAATCAGAATCAAGAAAGTACGATTCTATACGATACTTTCTATTAAATAATAATTAAACAGTATAGATAAATATCGTGTATCTTTTGTGAGCACGTGTTGATTTCGAATATACTGTATAAGCCGGCACTAGAATATACTACATTCTATCGGTGTATGTATATTATATCTATCATCTAGACGTAGTTAAGGAAACTCGAGTAAAGTTTCGCTTTAAGTACCGGCCACCCAATCTAGTGTTATCAAATTGAAAATTTCCAAATACAATCAGTGTAACTTTATCAGATAATCGATTAACGCTGTAACTTAAGATTCAACCATGTCTGCGGGTATTCAAACTTCCATTGATCAAAACTTATTGAATCCCTTGGGAACTCGAACACTATCATAAATCAAATAGCCATTGATCTGTTTCAAGATTAATACCCACGTATATTATATAGAAATTAAATGAATCACGAGGCTCGAGCTGATCGGCTTCAATGGTAATTCGAAAAAAAAAAGAAGGAATCGAGGCATATATCGGTATTTCAAGTGCGAGCCAGTTTGAATAGTCTTTGGCCTTTAGTCTTTATCGATTTTCTGGTTATGAAATAACGACCTAATTAGTACCCATGTGTGTGAATTCTACCGTAACGTGCATGTGATGCAAATTGAAGGAACGATCGTTTACACTCATATACGTGGACGTGCGAGTTCCTTAAAAGGCTTCCTTCTTATTTCATTGCGAACTCATCGAAAGCCGTGATACGCGACTAATTAATTAAATAACCTTTTGACAAGAGCATGGAAATAGCCTGTCGATGCGCTCTATCTATCTATTATCAGTATTCCGGCCTGGCGTTCTTCTATAGCCTCACGTTCTTACCCCTTCATTATTCCCTGTTTCTTTTTTTGTTTGGTGTAGATAGAAAGGGTTGGATTCCAGAGAATAATTGCGACGACCGCTCACTTTTGCGTGACTTTACGCCATTTTTTTCCTTCTATTTTCACCTTCCTTTATTACTTTTCCCCCGGTCGCCCGGGCACCCCGCGCTCTCTTTCTTTTTCGCCTCTTGCTCCTTTTACTTTTGTTCCCGCTCGGTTTTTTACACTTCCATGCATTCGTAACGAGAGAGAGAAACGCTTTCGCGTATATACATACGTATACAATTCTCCTCTCCTTTTTCCCTTCGGTTTTTCCCGCCACCCTCCGCTGTTTCCCCTCCGGCGAGTAACGAGCGGTCGGGGAAACGTTGAAATTTAAACGGCCGAAAACTGTTCCGAAAACGTGTTTCGAAATGTCCAAACGCTCGATCGTGTTTTATACACACAAACACCGATTTCACGCGCAATTAATTTCATTTCATTCCTAGTTGAAACACAGTTTTAGAAGTACGTTGAAAAATGGTTTCAATTCTGTTTATGTTGCTAGCGACGTATTTGTGTACAGCTGTCGCTGCTCTTCTACAGCACTCGGAATCGGGGTTACCGATAAAAGAACAGCGAGTAGAACGGGAAGAAAAAGAGGAGAAAGCCCATTGCAGACATCTTTCGCCATATCATTCACATTTACCATTGACATAAATAGGAGAAGCAATACGCTGTCCTGACTGTTTCCAGCCACGTAATATTGTGCAAAAACTAGATCCTGTATTTTAATCGAACACCCGCATGGTCATATTTAAACAATTAAACGAATTTGTAAATAAAAACAAAAGTAAATAGGAATTAAGGATGTATAGGCCATACACTTAAAC